AAAAAAAAAAAAAAAAAGTCTGGTTACTTTTCCACTATGCGGACTGCATTGATGGCCTCTCTGCACCAGGAATTCATTGGATGTATGCAATCGCAAATTACACCGTTCCTGGACGGGTCTGACCACAATTACATCCCGACATCCATTGAAAAGTCTTAGTGTGGGCATGCTCTGACTGCCAACGGGAATACCCGCTAGGAGAGGACTGGATCTCTGACCCAACTAACTAAGAGCATGCTCGAACTAGGACTTTCGTGGATGTATCTGAAAAACAATTACGGCCCATCCTGGATGTGCCTGACCATAATTACACCCGCATAGTCAAGAATGTCCTAGTGCAAGAAAAGTACGCCTTAATTCGGTTCACCTTCCCGTGCCTTCACTTGCGTCTTACAGCCAAGGGAATATAGGGGAGCCCCATCTGAGGCAAGGTGTCTGTTCACTCGGGTGCCACAGTGGCACCTTTCACCTTTTCCTGAGCATTCGAAGAAAAAAAAATTGGAACAACAATGAGATAAACCTGTCTTTTTCCTCCTTTTGCCTGAGATACACCTGTGCGGGCCGCACTTGAATGGCGCCACCTGCCAGGTGCTCAGATATCCACTTGACTGTATGCATCATAACAACGCAGAATGTGCAGGTGTATCTCAAGCAGAATGGACAACACCTTTTTTTTCCCACAAAACAGGTCCTTATGGCCCTGGCTCCATAAGTCCATATCCATTCTGGGGAGCGTCAGTCCGGTTCCCTTTCCACGGACAAGTCATAAATTTACAGAACAAATCACTCATGCTTCCTCCCATCTGGCAGGAAAAAAAACGTTTCACTTTTTTCTCTTTAGTTCTCTTTAGCTCCTAGCGATATTGTGTTCATCTGGCTTCAGCAGGATTCAAATCAATGACCTGTCTATTAGCAGTTGTGTGTACCAGTCAGCAAGATGGCCTCGAGAAAGAAACGTGAAAAAGGTCTAGAAGATCGTTGTCTTTTTTTCTATTCTTTTCTTTCCCCGGGGCAATAGCCTTGAGGTATTGTCAACGTGCTGACTGGCACAACTTAGGTCAGAGTTATTCTCTGATATCATCCGTTGGGACCATTGCAATGCTTTTTTTATCCTAGCTTTTAACCCAATGTTCTGCCAAAAAAAGTTTAAAAACTCTAATAATTCATGTTCTTTCTCCAGAACCTCTAAACAGTTCTCCATAGCCAGATTCAGAAGCTCAGAGTTTGACTGAAGTATTCAATTTTTATTCCAACCTTGATCAGTCCCACACACGACTTAAGCACTCCGGCGTCAGGTTTCTGACATCAGAGCTGTACTGATCAGACATAATTTTTTAGACCATGCTCAACATGTGGGCACCTCCTTAGAATTCGGCCACAGGATTCTCTGGTATCTCACGCCTCCAACTGGATAGCCTATCCTCAAACGAGAGTAACCTGAGTAGGCCACGACCCGACCACCCTCCTCATCTCAAACGTTCACAGCCAAGCTTCTGAGTTTGCCTTGGGGTACGGGAAGGTGGGGATTGGGCAGGCATCGGATTTATTGTGGTACTGTAGAAACAATTATAACATTGATGTTATTAAGTTGATAGCAGTAACCCTTGGCAGAAACATGCATAACGGCAATGAAAACTGGGTTCTGCTCTACCTGCAAGTCAGACTTCAATCTGGATTCCTCCATTCGCACCTTTGAAGTCTCTGTCTCAAGTCGCACAAACTGATATCCATCAAAACAGGGATAAAAGACCATTCAGATTTGCATGCCACAGCCAATTCAGATCAACAAACAACACAGCATCGCAAAGACGTCAGCTCCTTTCCAACGCCTTCGAGCACAAAGAAGAACGAGTTCCTAATGCCTTGCAATGAGGGCAACGGAACATGGTAAGATACGTTCTCGATTGTTCACTTTGGGTGAGTGGCACGACCATGCCAGCAGAATATTTCTTCTTCTTCTTCTTGCTGTAGTACACAGAAGTATTACACAAGCAACTGATGGACCATAACTTTGAAGTGCATATAATGCTTCCAGCGTGCTGGTGGGTAATTACCTCTGCATGCAAGTTACTCTTCCCGCTCAAGATGCGGACAGCGTCTTCAAGACCTTTTGTCTTGATGAATCCATCTTCCCTGAAGAACAACAGGAACAGAACAAATTGCTCCCAATAAGTCAGCATCTCATGCTTGACCCTCAGGCTCTCCTTAGCTAGTAGAAAAGATGAGGTACCATGCCATTTCTTTGGCTGTTGAGAGGCATCCAAAAGCGAAGTACTGGAATCAACTGTATACAGCTAGTCGTCAGCATATAACTTCACACAACACACCATTGAGACGTTCAACAGCACAAGTGATGAAACTGATTGAGAACACATTGACAAGAAATAGCGCATGCCCGACCCGTTTCTGACCATAACCACTATCTCCTCAGGGGTTCTCCTCCAACATCTTCCGTAGACTTGTCACTGTCCACTCACCTGCCGACCACACACTCTCAAGTTGTGTCTCGTCACTGTGGCACATACTTGGCGAGTCAAAAAGGACTAGTGTCTCGTAATTAGCATTTTGCAGTTCTGTTAGCAGCTTCGACACATCCGTAATCACCCGACTTAAGACAACATCCCCTCGATGGAGCTTTTCCATCTGAAAGATGCCAAGAAAGAAAACCTACAAACCTATGAAATGCGAAATGCCAAAACCCTGCAGTCGCCTGCACAAACCAGCAGCGCTACCAGCCCGATCCTACACTAGAACCATCTGAAAGGTGTTCTCGAACTTTGTGCAAAGTACCGTCCGAAAACTCAACAAAATTAACGACCGAACAGACCAGGCATTTACTCTGTATCCAACAGACTTCTTGCCTACATACAAACTGCATTATTAAGTACGCCCATTAACATCCCGAACAGTCCAGAACAATTCACGGGGAAAGAAAAAAAAAAACGAATAGACCAGGTAAACTTCCGGACTATCCCAGTGAACAGAATTCCCACACAAGCGAAGTAACAGATCGTGACTGGACCAGGTACCGAAGTTCCCATGCAAGCAAACGAACTGGTCCAATGACACGACTCAACCACATCCAGAAACTATGTCCGCCAAAGTTGCCATGCAAGCAAACGTTGCCAAAGCGGCCAAAATACTATATATTTATTCTTCTACCGCAGCTCCGACATTAACTGCCAAATTTATTCCCGACCAACAACAAATTATCGAACTCAACGCATATATCCGATGCAATGCCCCATTCACGGTTGCACTCTTTGTGTTCCTCCCAGTCCAAGATTCATAGTCCTGCAATGTTTGAAAGGTCAGACTGTTCCTGGTCCAGAATCCGTTCTCGTTCGTCTCCGTTCTCGTTCGTCTCCGTTCTCGTTCGTCTCCGTTCTCGTTCGTAAAGATCGGCAGACTACCAGTGAAGGGGTATGACTCCTGCACCGGGCAATTTGCATCCCAGGAAGATCCACTCATGTTCACCTGCGTCCCTCTTTTTAAGTGTCAGGTTGTCTCCATAGCAAGAGTCGAAGCAACGAAGGATCTTGCCTGCAGCACCTTCATCGTTTCGTCTCGTGGTGACAAATAATGACACGTCATCAACCAAACACATCCCACACACCAGCCTGCTGTCTTTGCCCAAGGACTCTAGGAAATCCCACTCAGCTCCGATACAAAAGGGCACCCAAGCCGGGGTCTGATGCTCTTCCCCATGGGAATCCCAACCTCCTGATTGAGCAGCACACCTGCAGCCCATGTGTAACAGTGCTGCAGCTCAAAGGCGACAAACATCATCACTTGCGCAAATGAAAAAAGTTTTCCAACCAGCACCGACTTCCGTCTTTCCGATTTCCATGCCCTTCCCTCTTATTCATACTGACACATACTTCCGCCCTTTCTCACAATGCCATGCAAGCAGCCACTCCAGTGCCCATCGAATTGACGTGTGTAGAAGTTTGCAAAGCATGTCATTGTTCAATTCTTCCTCGGAGTTGGGACTACAGCCTTCAGATTGAGTTGGCACTTAAGGGCGGTTTCTTCGGTCCGATAGTGTCAGCATACTCGTGTCATAATCTCCACACACAGCAAAACAAAAACGGCTGGTTTGTTTTGTCTTTTTCCTGTAGTCTGTCTGTGGCAATCACAAACCACACACACACACACACACACACACACACACACACACACACACACACACACACAGGAAAAAAGAAAAAGCCACGGTGCACAGTGTGCACTCTTGCACAGCAGCACATCTCGATGCACTGCGCACACAGTGCACCTGGTGCACGCACATGCACGTGCGTTGTCACCGAGTGCATTCCGCACCGTGCACCGCACACCTCACGTAGTAGGGAATGTTTATTGTAATCTGTTCTCTTGGATTTATTTGGAATTCCGTCTTAATTAGGCCACGGATAAATTGTCCACCTCTCTTAGTATTTAGTATTTACAATTTTACACTCTTCAATCCTTTCCAAACTCGCAGAACACCGACAGTGTCCATCTCCCCAATTGTGCTTCTATGCTTCCATGCCGCTATCAATAATTATTAATTGACGAGATTAATTCAGATTTCCTGCTCTCTGATTCAGACTTTAGTCCTTAGTCTGTAAGTTCCTCCGTCTTCAATCCTTTCGACTGTAATAGGCCTAGAAAAAAACGGGAAAAAAAAGAAATAAAAAAGCTCCTCTGGCTTGAGTCTCCGCCAGTTGGTCAGACCCCTGAGCTGCTTTTCGACAGTAAGTTCCTCCAACTTTAGGCCCCTTTCCACTCTTCTGATTGAGGTGCAGTTTACATGTTTGTCAGTCGTAGTAAGTTCATCTTCAGTCATATTTCGACTGTTGTGATTGAGGTGCAGTTTACCTGTTTGTCAGTCATGGGAATGTCCCACCAACAGCAGTTCAGTTAGTCAGTGTTCATCAGAGTTTTGCTTTGTTCGCCATTGTCTAAATGCCCTTATATTATAAGGCTTATAAGCATTTTTTGAGGGTACTTCAATATTTTACGTTTGGTCTGCCAGATTTGAAGCATTTCAGGAATATCCTCATCTTTTGGGGTGTTTGCGACAACTCGACGCAAAGTACCGATGAGCGTGGTTAGAAGGTTACCCTTTTTTCTTTTTCCTTTTTCTTTAAAGGGCGACAACCTTGAGATCTCACTGTCAAACAACCAGGCCCCGCAAAATTCAGAATTATTTGATTTCATTCATATAGTTCATATGGATTCGGACTCAGGTCTGTATTTCAATAGTTCATGGGAGTACCAACTGAGCCAGGCCCGTTGGTAGAGCACGGTTGCCTTGTCTGGATCATGCAAAATGGTCATGTGTGGCAATCTCTCTCCTCCTCCTTCACGTGGGCCTCTTCTTAGGGTTGAACAAGGATAAAGCTGGAGGGTTGTTTCAAAAGGGGTCAAATCGGAGGTGTTGGTGATGTTTGATGGCACAACCTGAGCCTCTTGACATTCTTCATCATGAACATACCAAACAGGAGGGTCATCCAGACGTCCAGGAAAAAGTCTTGATCACCGTGACATTCTGGGTCTGACTATTTTGGTGGTGAGCCGGAGGCACTGAGTGTGTGTGTGAAGGATAACTCAGAGGGCAAAGAGGAAGGCAAACCGTACCTGTGGTGTCTCAGCTTACACTCCAAGGCATCCTTGTCCACTTCCAATTCCTTTATCTTCTCAGCCATTTTTCCTTCCATGTCTCGCCTTCCAGCTTCTGCATCCCTTACTCTTGATCTCAACTTTGCCATCATAATTTCCCCATCCTGCAGCGCCCTTTCCAGAGTCTTCACTCTTCTGCTTAGCGCATCATCCAATCCTGAGATTTGACCATGGTTTAAAATGCCGGCGGCTGCACCAGTGTCGCTCGGCCACCTGCTTACACCCTGATCCACACAATCAAGGCAATCATTCCCATCTGCATTCAATGACCTTACGTCATCACACAATCTTTGAAGGTCTTTCAACCTCACTCAGGGCGTACTCCCACTTGTCCTTTCGCGAGTGTATCAGGCAACGATCTTCTGAATGGTTATGGCCAGATTAGGTTGAGAAAGTCCTAGTCAAGTAAGTCCAATCTGGGGCGAGATAGGCAGTTAGCTCAAAGAATGCAACCTGAGCTAGAACAGACCAGGAGGGAGAGGGTTGCAGCAATGGGAAGGAGGGACCTGTGAAGAATGAAAAAAGGTGAGGTGGGGGAGGAGACGAGAAAAGACACAGAGAGCCTGTGGTAATGTGATCAGTAAGAGTGGAAATGAGAAGAATGATTGCAGCTGACCGGATACGGAGGAAGTTGCATAAGCTTGAAAGCTGGAGATAGTTTGAAGTGGTCCCTAGACAGGTGGGCAAAAGATTACCAGGTGGCTGCGTTGATAACAAACAACTCCCTGCAAATTGCACCCAGGCTTGTCACATGGAGACCGCCATGGACGTGCTGAGCACGCCAAGCAGGTACCAGGTCAGACAGGTGAAGGCTATCAAATAAGGAGGTATAAACACACAAAGATGGTGCAACATAGCAACAGTGCTCATGTGTGTGTGTGTGTGTGTGTGTGTGAGAGAGAGAGAGAGAGAGAGAGAGAGAGAGAGAGAGAGAGAGAGAGAGAGAGAGAGAGAGAGAGA